ATTTCGACGTTGATCACCAAAAAATTTCGGAAAATACACTTCCCAATCGTTTAATGTGACAAATCGTTCGACTAGTATGTTACGAGTGTAATAAAACGAAATTTAGAGTAAACCTTATTGCTAAAAAAGTCAAAACCTAGCAGGGATCAGGAAAAGTTATTAAGGGATCAGAAATAAATGATAATAATAGAATGCTTATTATTATACAAAATTTGAAGTGGTGTTATTTAATGTGGGCAGCGCTACCTTTCTAAGTGGCACTTATTCGATTTTACAATACTCTTTAGATATAAACATTGGGGTAAAAAAAATTTCCTTTATAATATATTATGATCTCTTGAAATTCCTGGGTATGATTTACATTGACTATTTCTTGACCAAACAACCTATTTGGTTCTGAGTGTAATAACTTACTATTTGAAAATTACAACAAAACTCAAGGATTCTTGATGATTTCTCTCTTCTCAATCACAACCAAAGTGACCACTTTTTGACAAAGAATATTCAAGGAAATGTATATCAGATAAAGAATGATCAATTATAACATTTATGTATATGAAATTTGAGAATTTTATAAATATTAACAAAAGTGTAATACAATTTTTTGTGTAAATGACAATTGGCTTACATGTAGATCAAATCACGTTATTTATGAGATTATGTGTGCCCTAGGGCTTCGAATTATTCGTAATAGTAATAGTAATAGTAATAGTAATAGTAATAGTAATAGTAATAGTAATATTAACAGTAATACTAATACAGTTGACCTTTAATTCGAATTAAAAAGTTTTATTCGAATTAAAAAGTTTATTAGAATTAAAAAGTTTATTCGAATTAAAAATTTAATTCGAATTAATATTAATATTAATATTAAAAAGTTTATTCGAATTTAAAAGTTTATTCGAATTAAAAATTTAATTTGCTTTATTCAAATTATTTGTTTTATTTGTTTTATTCATTATCGGAATCTTGGGTTTGTTCATTCATTTTATTAGATTATTTGGAATCATGGGTTGTTCAATTACTTAAATATTCAAACTATATATACAACAAGGTTTAATATTGATTTTATTATTATAAAAATTGAAATTAAAAATGAAACTAATAAGGAAAGACTGAAACAAGATTCATGTTTCTTTTAATAAATAGCAATCTTTCCAGTGAGCTTGAATTTAAACTGGACCTTAATTATTTGTTTTATCCGAATTAATTTTTTCGAATTATTTGCTTTATTCAAATTAATATTAATATTAATATTAATTTCCTTATTCGAATTAATTTCCTTATTCGAATTAATTTTTTTATTCGAATAATTTCCTTATTCGAACTAATTTTCTTATTCGAATTAATTTTCTTATTCGAATTAATTTTTTTATTCGAATTAATTTTTTTGTTCGAATTAATTTTTTTATTCGAATTAATTTTCTTATTCGAATTAAAATTTATTCGAATAAACTTTCAATGTAATTCGAATACTCCAATCCATAATAATAACGAATAAAGTGAATAATTCGAATAAACCTTATTCGAATAGAAACCCCATATTAAAATATTAGCTATATAATATATGTCAGCGCCCTTATTTGTTTAATTTTATATAAAAAAAGGATAGGAGTTATATTAATATGTAGCAATAGGTTTTGGTAAAAAAAATTTTTTTTATCTGAACAAATATTTAGAAACGTGTTTTCGCGATTAATTTATAATCGGTGCTTGCTTAGATTGTTTCTAATACGAAAGTTCAAACCAAAAAAACGTTCTTTAATAGATACTTCCGAAACTTTTGTTTTTGAATGAATAGTCTATCGATTTAAAAAATAAATACAGCATTTTTCTTTATGATGTATCCTTGTAATTTCGTGTGATCATTTCACTTTATTTTTGTCAATTGACATTTATTATTGTCACATAGGATTCAATTTTGATAAATTGACTCCCGTATCACCTGTCTTGATTTTTGGAGATTTAAGAGTGCTTCCATTAATTTTAAGGAAATCTGACGAGTCTTTAACAGCACTTTTCAATTTTTGATTAAAAATAGATTTGATGTTTCCTACCTAAATCACCCCGATTACCCGATTACAAATCAAGACTTTAGATTTTTAAACGTTGCTGGCAAAAATAAAGAATCAACAGTCGCATAATCAATTATTAAGTTTTAATATTTAACACATATATATGTTACGAAATTTTCATAAATATGCTGCATTTTAATTTGATGTTGTGCTTTAATTAGTTAAGGTCAACTTCGTCCGTTTCTCAAATTTATAAAGGTTCCGAAAACAGAAACGAATCTGATGATAAATCATTATCCAATCACCGCATTTTCCTAATCAAGCCAAGTTGTTGTAAAAGACAAGGATTTCTTGTTAAGAAAGAACATTGAATTCAAGTTTGAATTATTGAAGAAATCACCATTAACAACATATTTTGGTGCTTTTTAACAGAATGAATGTATACTTCCATAAAGTTGGAATATTAATATCAAGACATTGTTTATTTAATAGAACGCAAAGGTGTAATGTTTTTATAATCATACCATTTGAATGTTACGTGAAATATTCAAACATTTTTAATATAATTTGTTAATAATAACAGGAATAACAAAAAATTAAATCTATATATGTATAAAATTACTAACAATATCATTAAAATAACGCGTTGTTATTTATTTATATATCACTAATTTTTAAAACCTCTTCTATTGATTTTCTTTGAACTTTGCTTGATAATTTAAGTTGCAAGATTTCACCAATCTCGTTACAAGATTTTAATATTTCATCTAAATCTTGTTTAGTATGAGCAGCTGAAATGCAAAATCTAGCTCTAGAGGAGATCATTGGTGTGGCAGGATATGCAACAACGACTACAGCAATGTTTCGCTTTAGACATTCTCTTGAGAAGGCAGGTATTTTAGCAGGGTTGAATAGAAGTAATGGGATGATTGGTGAGTCAGTATCACCATAAATGATGAAACCCATTCTTCTCAAATTTGTGCTCAAATATCTAGCATTGAATGCCAATCTTTCCAATCTTATCTTGCCTTCTCCACTTTTTGCATCATCTTCACCCATAATAATTGACATTGAAGTGTAGATTTGTTGTAGTATTGGTGGCGTCATTGATTCAGCATAGACTGATGCATGGTTCCACAATCGAAGAGCATCAATAGTCTCTTTTGATGATGCAACGTATCCACCAGCAGCACCAAATGATTTTGTAAATGTTCCCATCAAAATGTCAACCTCATCAGGATTTATACCATAATAATCACACACACCTCTACCTCTTGGACCTAGTGCACCTATACTATGTGCCTCATCAACATACAAATAAAACTGTACATCATAATAATGATATTCCGATTAATAATTTGATTTTCTCAAATAAAATGTAAAAAAAATTTTTCTTACTTTATATTTTCTTTTTAATTCAATGATTTTTGGCAGATTACATATACTACCTTCCATGGAATAAAGACCTTCAACAACCAATAAAATTTTTTTCCAAGGTCGATGGGTTCTTGGTTGCCCTTGACTAATACATTCCTTCAATAAATTTTCCAGATCTTCCATGCTATTATGTTTGAAAACTCTGATGAAAGCACCAGATAGACGACTACCAAACACAATTGAACTATGGTTAAGTTCATCAGATATGATTAGACAACCTTTTGAAGCCAAAGCAGGAAAAGTGGTGCTATTAGTAGCATAACCCATTGAAACAACCATAGCAGCAGGCTTACCAACAAATCTGGCAATCAGCGATTCCACTTGTAAATGAAGATCCAACGTACCAACTTCAATTCTTGAACTACAAGATGAAATACCATATTTTCTAACTGTCTGTTCAACAGCATCAGCACATGGACCTTCACTCTGAGCAAATCCCAAATAATTATAACTACTTAAATTTAAACAATCTCTGGTTTTACCGGTCAATTGAAAAGTTTTACAGTAATCTTTTGTCTCTCGTTCAAGCAATGTAATTTTTCTGCCAGGTACACCAGTGACGGGACGATTAAAACAATCATTGATTCGTAATTTTAATCTTCTTACATAGAAATTATCAAAATCTGAATTCAAAGGTGCATATCCCTATTAATTGAATTGGAGTAAAGATATTTAGAAAAAATAAATAAAATAAAAATTTATCATAACATACATTTTGTTCTTTCAAATGTCTATAATCTTTTTTTTTAAACCTTTTTCCAAAAAAATCACGAACATGTCCAAAACAAATAAGTATTAAATATGATAAATAAGTAGTGAACAAGTAATAGTATGGTGGTTCTTCTTCTTCCCAACCTGGGTCATCATCTCGCTTTTGTGATATATATCTTTGTTTATTATTGTTGTTATTATTATTATCATCATTATCATCATCATCATTATTATAATAATGATTATTGTTTAGAACTAATTTTGATGCTTTTGTTTTAGCATTTGTCATTATTATGCAAATTTTTTTCTATTTTTATGTTTTTTTAATTTTTTTTTTTATAATTTAAAAAAGGAAACTAATTTCTTTTATTATTATACAAATAATTGTTAACTTTGAAAAAAAATTTTTTTTTTTTTATCGTTTGATGTTTTTTTTTAGATTTGAAAGAATATGGCATTTATTTTATATTGTGTATTTTATTATTATGTATAAATAAAAGCATGTAGTGTAATTACACGACAAAACCTTCAAATAAGGTTTTGGTCTCACGTAGTTCCTATATTAACTATATATTGTTTATTAGTATGTATGAACAACTTTTATTTCCTTTCCTTTTTTTTCCTTGGTCTTTAAAATAAAAAAGAAGTTAACAATTGGTTATTTGTAATTAGAACCTGTTAAATAAAACAGAAATGTCTCAAAGTAAAGGTGCTGCTTATGATTATCTTATTAAACTTTTATTAATAGGAGATTCGGGTAAATAAATAAAAAGTAAAGTAAATAAAAATAATATTTTAATGTGTACAACAATTTTACAACTATTTAAATATTAATATTAATATATTAATATTTATATATACATACATATATATATATATATATAGGAGTAGGGAAGAGTTGCCTCTTGCTTCGTTTTTCAGATGATTCATTTACACCTTCGTTTATTACTACAATTGGTATCGACTTTAAGATTAGAACAATCGAATTAGATGGAAAGCGAATCAAACTTCAAATTTGGGATACTGCTGGTCAAGAACGTTTTCGTACAATCACCACAGGTAACTTGTTAATGATTTTGGAATTGAAGTCGTAAAAGAGGAGAATTTTAATTATTAATGTTATCATGTTAATATTAATGATTATTTATTTATTTAGCCTATTATCGTGGAGCAATGGGAATACTCTTGGTGTATGATGTAACGAATGAGCGTTCTTTTAACAGTATCCTTAACCAATCCCAATTAATATTCATTAATTAATGATGATAATAATAATATAATGTGGTTATCTATTTCTACACACGTGTACAATGATTTCAGATATAAGGAATTGGTTTTCAAATATAGAACAACATGCAAGTGAAGGAGTTAACAAGATTCTTATTGGTAATAAATGTGATTGGGTTGAAAAAAGTGAAATTAACAAAGAACAAGGTCAAGCGCTTGCTGATGAATTTGGTATCAAATTTTTGGAAACTAGTGCTAAAGCCAACATCAATGTAGAAGAGGCTTTCTTCAGTTTGGCAAGGTAAAAAAAAATTTTGGAATAAATGAAGAGAAAACTTTAATTTATAATTATCAATTAATTAATTAATTTGTTGTGTGTAATTAATTATTCAGGGATATCAAGAAAAGACTTATTGATACACACTCCCAAGAACAACAAACTCATCAAAATAAAAGACTTGAACTGGATAATAAGCATCTTAAATCTAACTCTAATTGTTGTAATTAATATTGATAAATATGTTTATAATATTAATAATAAACCACAATAACAATAGCCTTGGGCTTAATCTTTATTATTATATTATAACCATATTTGATATATATTATAATTGTAATTGTAATAAATAATCAATATTAAAAATTAAGCTACCAACTAATTTCTTTCTTTTCCTTCTACACCGATTTATATAACTTACATCAAAAAGGCGTTTAATATTATTCTGCTGCCGCAAACATATATAGTCTTTGAGTGAAGAAGTCTTTGAATAAACTCTTGATTTAAAAAGACGTTGTTAAATTTGTATTTTTGCAAATCGAAAATTTATTGGGTATTGGTACTTATTTATATATTAGCATTCGAACAAACGATTTTCTCCGAAATTTTTCGGTGATCGACGTCAAAATTTTATTAATAAAATTAGCCACAAACCTTAATTCTACCTCTTTCTTCTCCTTAAAAAAAATTATACATTAATACTAAGGGAGGTTATTTAATAGAATAGAGAAAAATCTTGGTGTCAAAGTTTATTTATCAAACAAATTACCACGTTTAGAAATTAGTTATCTCTTTTTTGGTCAGTACGCTTGGTGATCTCCTGCCCATCTTTTTTCATTGATTGATAAATAAATTTTATCAACACACATCTCAGATGGTATTGCAAAGTAAATTCTTGTTTGCATAACAAGATTTGGTAGAATTACTTTTTTTTTCTGACACCACCAAACAAGTGGTTTACAAGTTCCACATGTTTCAGAAATATTTGCATGGATCTTCTTTTGATAATTGTTATTGTTGTTGGTTGAAACGGGAATGTAAACTAGTATTATCCAAAACATCAGATGAAATAGATAGATTCAATAGTTGTATCACTCGCTGTCAGATTTGATAATCATCATTTAAAAAATTATCATTATTATTATTATTATTATTATTACCACCACTACTACTTATTAATGGTTCATTGTTAATATTATCAATATGACTATTTTTCTTATTATTGACTGTTATGAGTATTATGTTTTTAATTTTGGCAAATGAATGAATGATAGGTTTTTTCTTTTGTCATTAAGAGAAAAAAATATATCAGCCAGCTAAGCCGCCGATAAATTTTTCAGCCGGCTGACATCATCATTAATCTCCAATTTCCAATCATATTTCAAAATTGATACGCATGCATGGTATAATTTCCCCGATGAAACTTCTTGTTTTCCCAAATGCACATTATGATTTTTAACGTAGTTATTATATCTTTTTTATATTCAGTCTCCATACTTAATGCTCTGGCTTTATCACGTGCCTCCACTTTTAATTAAACTATTAGCATAGGTTTTATTAATGGTAATAGTACTTTCGAACATTTCACAAGTTCAAAACCTAAACTGAAATACGAAATTCAAAACCTAAGCCGAGAGTCAAACCATGAACACATTTGACCAAAAATCGCTTAATTCTTTTCTCGAAAATAGTTTAGGAGTTTCGGGTTAGTTTCGAAAGTATTTTAGAAAGGCAACTATAAAACTGACTGTATTACGAACATAAACCCCAGGTCAAGCCCTTCAACATACAAGCAAATAAATAATCAGTAAAAAACAGACATGAGCTAATCAAATTATCATATTAATTGCCCAGTACGCCTACCATACACATAATAATATTTATTTTTGGTGTGGTTCAGTATTGTACATCAAAGTAATAACCATCAAGTCCAAAATCATGAAAGGTATGAATAAATATCAATGCTATGAATGCAATCATCAAACTTGATGATGTTATGTTTGCTGAAAAAAATCTTTCTTTTTTAGCATTTTTTATGGAACTTCTCTAATTTTAAATATATATTTCTCTTTTTGCACTTTTTGCACTTTTTGTTTGTCTTCCTCTTCAGAATCTTTACGATGAGAGTAAATAAAATAATTAAGAGCTCCGGTTTCAAGTATATTGATCCGTACCTTATTTTCCGCTCTCATCCTTTTCACTTCTATCGTTATTGGTCCATCACTATTCTCTTTTTCCCCTTTCACTTTTGTAATTTTTTTCTTTCGACATTTGATCCTTTTTTTCATAGCTTCTTTAATTCTTTCACAATCATGATGTTTTAGAGGACAATTTTCCTCCGCCCCGATAATTTTCTTGATTTCTTCTAATATTGGACCACTTTCAAAGGCTCCTTTCCCAAAAAGATACTTTTTCACATTAAGAAAAAATCTTCGAATTTTTTGGAATTTTTTATCCTTTAGTAGATCCTTTATATGTTTTTCTTCGTCATATTTATACACAAGCTGATAAAAATACACCCAGTTATCACTAATCATAACATAGTAATATTTATAATCGCTTTCTTTTTCTTCTTTTGTTTCTTTTTTTTTTCCTATTTCTTTTTCTTCATCTGTTGCTTTTCTTTTGCATTCATTTGTGAATAAAATTTTAAACAATCCATAGACAATAAAGAAAATATAAAGAAAAACACAGAAAAAAATCAAGACTTTATTTTTTTTTTCTTGTTGATCATTTTTTCCTTCGTCTTTATCTTTTTCTTCACAAATATAAAAGTGTCCGCCTGTAGAACCAAATCGGCACCTTGTCCATATATCCAATTCTTTATCCTTTTGATAATAAAAATGTACAATCTGATTAATGTTTTTAACTTTGATTTCTGCATAAACTTTCTCATCTCCACCATGTTTATAAGTACATCCAATTACTCCATTGTCAGAAAAGAATGATGCGATTGAACGGGTCAAAACAATGGTGAGAGTGGTGTTAAAAACTGTGTTAAAAAAAGGTTGGGTGCAAAACCAATAATATTCAAAAAATATATGAAGTATGCAAAGGATAATGGTAAAAAAGAAAACTTTTTTACGAACAAAGCCATTGTAATGTCTCTTTTTACCAGTAATGCAAAATACATATTTTTCCAAATTAGGAAAATGATATGTTACAACTAAACAAAAAGTTGCAAGGAGATAACAAAAATTCATGAAATAGTTTAAAAATAACAAGTTGATTTGCCTATTATACACAACATTCTTTGATCCATTATTTGAATTAAGTTGATCAATTTGTCTAAAGTATGTTGAAAAGATATACTTGTATGTCAAGAAACTATAAACTATGACTTCAATTGAATGAAGAAAATACCCCCAAATAAACATGGCTTTAAAAGCAGTGAAGAATTCTTTGTTGGTAAGACGTAACTCCTTTGGAAGCATTTGAAACCATATTGAATCTTTGTTGAGCTCATTCCGACATTGGTGAAAATGGAACCTGATAATTCCCCAAAAAGTCAGAAGAATTACCATGCTTCCAAAAAAAATACCAATAGCTATTGAATTGATAAGACCTTCGTCATAAATTAGATCCTCTTTGATTTCATGTATTACTCCATAATACCATAATGGTTTGGTATAAGTGTACCACCAAAGAATCGGCCCAAAAGAAGTTGTAAGAATAACAATGTCATCAAGAAGGCAGGTTGTCATAATGCCAAATATAGATTTCGTGCCATAAACAGCTATAGTAAAAAGAAGACCTGTGATAGGGATGAACGTCCCTACTTGAGAAAAAAAGCTGGTGTATGCTTGTAAACTGCTAATAGAACTACTACCAGGACATACAAAATCTACTCCATCATAAGTAACATTGATTTGTGGTAATTCTATTATGCCAGCAAGAAAATTAGTTACTGTTGATGTAAGATTTTTTTCTGCTTTTGCTGTGGAGATAAAACCAAAAAAAAGGCAGAAAATAAAAAGTTTAATTTTAATCATAGAAAACATCTTTAAAGTAATCTATTAATGAATAAATCATTCAAGTAATGAATGAAAAGAATTGAATTTATATATGATTTTTGCTGCTAAATATCCGATTGAATATTGTTACTATATAGGAATAAAAATTTAGCCCGATAAATGAAGATAAATTAGGTTTTATCTACATATAAGTAAAATTTAAAAAAAAAATCATAATCTTTTCGGAGAAATCAATCCGCATACGATAATAATTTATTTAAATTATAATGTTGATTGACCATAAAGGTTTCGCAGTGCAGTGTTGAAAATTCAGTGCGGGAATGCGGGTGTAACATAACACACCAAATTTATAATAGTTCTAAATTTGTATATACTAGAAATCTCAATAGATGCAGTATTTCGAATTCGACTGGATTATGAGATTCATGAATATTCATTAAGAAGGTTACACTGATCAAAAATCAGATGATCAACACTGTTTTTATAAGTAATGAATGAATATTCATGAGACATGCAAAGATTTCCATTATTCCAAAATTTAAATTTTAGAATTTTTCATTGTCGGACATACAATAAACCAGTTATTGAATGTGGAATTGCGCAATAATCACATCAAAAATGACTGAATGTTCATCAATGCATGCTCCGTATGCAATAACTCACATATGTTGTTCCTGTACACTATTTATTTTTTCTAAAAAGATATCGTTTTATTGAATTCAACAAAATCACAGACAACTTTACAAAATAATTAGAAGAAAAGTCAAATATCTTTTCTTGAAACAAAAAGATCAAAACCGAAAAAGAAAGGTTTATTCAAAAACAAACTCAAATGCAAATTCCATTTAAACTTTATAATGAAGACTACGATAAAGCAAAGGAATTATTTTCTAATTTAAAGAAGAGCTGGCTGGTTAAAAATTGAAAATTTTATGATTTTAAGTTTGCACTATATAAAATCAATCAATCGTCCGTCACGTTACTAAGATTTATTATTTGGTGATCAGCAAGTATCGCAAGCATTGGCTAAATCAATTTAGTCAATTTCGCCAAATTTCGTCATTTCGTCAAACGATAAATATGAATTTCATCATGTATAATTTCTTAATTTTTGACCATTTGGGGGATAATGGATGATCTGGTTAAGAAAAATTTTATTTTTGATTGCTAAAATTTCCATTTTTTAACAATCAAAACTTTTGATAGATTTGAAAAAAACCCCCAATTGATCCAATTGACCTTTAATCTGGGATAAAT